GAGAGAGAGAGAGAGAGAGAGAGAGAGAGAGAGAGAGAGTGCCACAGAGAGAGAGCTATGTCGAAGGACGGAGGAAGAGGGGGATAATGATGACGAGCAGCTGTGCATCTCCAGAGAGAGAGAGACAGAGAGAGAGAGAGAGAGAGAGAGAGAGAGATCCATGTCGAAGGACGGAGGAAGAGGGGGATAACGATGACGAGCTGCTGTGCATCTCCATAGAGAGAGAGAGAGAGAGAGAGAGAGAGAGAGAGAGAGAGAGAGAGAGAGAGAGAGAGAGGCTATGGCTTGCACTTTGGCAGAGTATGATCAAAGTTTTTTCTATTCCATAGTTCTTTCTCTCTCTTGGGTCATGGTTCTCTCTGTCGCTCTCGGGTTATGGTTTGTGCTTTCCCACAGTTTGATGATCGTTTCCTCTCCTTCTGAGTGTTCTCACTCTCTCTCTCTCTCTCATGAGCAGACTACCTACCATTTTTTGTCGTCCCTGTTAGCATGGCCTCTTCACAGCGAAAGGATGACATCCATGCATGGACATGGAGACACGGTCCAAATTAAATAAATAAAAAAACATTTGGATGTTGTTCACTAAACTACATCCTAGATGTATCTAGACTGAAAAACGCTGCAATCAGTCTCGCGTTCACTTCCACTTCACATACATGCAAACAGATGGCGTTTCACACTGGCACGCAGCGCCCACACCGAGCTCAGAGATATGGCAACCAAGAACACAGTTCAGATGCAAACTCGCTTCAACAAACTATGGCGCATCAACGACTGTACATCACAATTCTCGTCACTGTGTTCAACACCACCACTCACCCACACTCAACTCTGGATCACGCTGAATACACCCACGCACACTCACTTGTACACGCTCACTAACCTCTAACATTACAGCGGCTATGGCCGCTCTACTTCTACTAACTATGACTACGTTGTCTCTCTTCAGCCCACTTCGTCTTCGGGCAACCTGCAGACCACCTTCGCACAAGACGCTGTAGCAGCGCTTCCGCCTGGCTTACGCAGCGAATGAATGAATGGCTGGGCGCTGCCTCTTGATTTATACTTTTGTAACTTGTTGGTCTGCCCCTTTCCCAGGCCCTCGGTGCATACAGTCCCACACGGTACTTGCTTGACTGGAGTCTGATTGACTAGGACCTGTACCGCTGACTGCATGGGTTTGCACTGCCAACTCGATGCAGTCGCACTGCCGATGTAACGCAGTTGGGCTCACCACTTGCTCACTTGCCTCTGACTAAACGTGAGACACTTTGGAAGGCCACTTCCAGACCTTCCAGAAGTCTGTGGACTTGGCCTTTCGGGTACTGCAGCAGCTACAACCTTGACCTTTCAGGACTGTAGCAGCTACGACCTCGACCTTTCAGAATACCTACAACTATGACCTCTACAAAGTTGTGACTCCTAATCGACAGACCTACAGATTGAACCCCTACCACTACACAGACCTACGATAAACGACAAACAACTACCAAAACACAGGTCACGGGTTCAAACACTCGGGTGTCAACTCGATACTGTACATGGGCAAAGTGAGGTCTGGGGATCGAACTCTAGGGCCCCCATCTGTGACTGCAGAAAGATGAAAAACGTTTCACTCCCGCCGGCCTAAATTTGAGGTCCTCCGAGAATACTTCAGTCTAAGGCAGGGCCTTTACCCTTCTTATCTCTTTCGTAAGCTCGGACTATATCGGGAGCAGTCTGTAGAAGTTCAGTTCGCGTGAACCAACGGTCGTCTTCTGGCTCTTGATAGGCAAATCTGACTTTGTATTGTTTATGGGGACGACCTCTACCTCTTGTCCTGAAGACATCCTCACCTACTATCCCTTCAATATCATATCTTCCATCCATATCTGGAGGAATCATAGATCTACGTGATGTAAACTGTTGACTTGTAACGCAAGGCAACAACTTTGACGCATGGAACACTGGGTAGGTGTGGAGGTGTGCTGGAATCTCAATAGTATAGGATGGTCCATCCTCTCCGCCCTTGACTTTTAGGAATGGGCACGGTCCTCTATACGCAGGTAACAACTTCTGTGAGATGTTCTCCTCAGGAGCAAACTCTTTTGACTTGACCCAGACTAAGTCGCCTACTTGAAACTGAGAGGGGCGACGAAGCTTGTTAGCTTGCTCTATCATTTTGTGTTGGGCTTTAGTGAGGTTGTCAACAACGGTAGCTATCTCTTTCTTGTGCTGTATCGCAAACTTTCGTGTACCGGGCAGTAGCCTCTGAATTTGATCCCGGTTAAATCCCTCGAACGGTCTGCGCGGTTTGAAGGACTTGTGCAATTCGTTGGGAGTGCGACACATAGATAAGTGCATGCTATTTTTCTAGGCACTGGCTACCTTTGGGAGCATCTCATCCCAGTTGATCTGATCGGGCCAAATGTACATTCTAAGAACTTGCTGCAGGAGCTTGTTCGTCTGTTCAGTCTGGCCGTTAGTTTGAGGATGACGACCAGATGACATCAACAACTTTGAGCCATAAACTTTCATCAGCTCCTGCCAGTTCTGACTGGTGAATCTGGTATCCCTGTCATTAACTATCGACTGCGGTATACCATGCTCACTGACCCAATGGTCAAAAAACTTGCTAAGTCTATGCATGCCTCTGCAGGCAAAGGAACAAAAACTGCACACTTGCTAAATCTATCTACTATGACCATGACTTGACTTTTGCCATGCCTACTCTTGACCTGAGTATCCGTAAAGTCGATGGACACAGAATCTCCGGGTCTGTCAAGAATAGGCAAGGGTCTGAGAAGACCAAGAGGGGCTGGCGTAGTGGTCTTGCTTCGCTGACAGACTTTACAGCTGCGGATATACTCTATGTAGTCGGCCTTCATACCAGGCCAGATGTACGCGGGGATGAGGTTGGCTAGTGCCTTTTGCCAACCATGCTCACTGACCCAATGGTAAAAAAACTTGCTAAGTCTATGCGTGCCTCTGCAGGCAAAGGAACAAAAACTGCACACTTGCTAAATCTATCTACTATGACCATGACTTGACTTTTGCCATGCCTACTCTTGACTTGAGTATCCATAAAGTCAATGGACACAGAATCTTCGGGTCTGTCAGGAATATCCAAGGGTCTGAGAAGACCAAGAGGGGCTCGCGTAGTAGTCTTGCTTCGCTGACGGACTTTACAACTGCGGATATACTCTATGTAGTCGGCCTTCATACCAGGCCAGATGCACGCGCAGATGAGGTTGGCTAGTGTCTTTTGCCAACCAAAGTTTCCCTCTGTATCATGGCATTCCCCTAAGATCAAACTACGGATCTCTTCACTCACCTAGTAAGCTTAGGTGTCATCTTGGCCTGCGTCTTCAACCACCGTAGAGTCCCGTGGTCTGAATAGACTTTGAACTGCCTCCCAAGCAAGTAGTGCTTCCAGTGATCTAATGCTTGCCTGAGAGCGTATAGTTCCATCTCATAGGTGGATGTCGCCACCTTCTCTGAAGGCATCCTGGTGGACATGAACTCTACGGACCTATATCCATTGCCACCGTCTTGCTGTAAAACAACACCTATGCCATACTGACTCGCGTCAGTGGTAACAACGAAAGGCAGGGACGGATCGACTACCTTAAGGACTGGATATTCTATCAGGGCCCGCTTTAATCTTTTCAGGGCAATTGTACAGTCCTTGTCCCACTTCCAGATTGCCTCTTTCTTTAGCAACCTGCGAAGGGGTGCAGCGATGGTGGAGAAATTCCTGATGAACTTCGTGTAGTAATTAGCTAGGCCTAAGAACGACCGCAACTATGTCAGTGTGCGGGGCGTTGACCAGTCTCTAATCGCTGCAATCTTATTATCTTCAGGTTTCACGCCGTCTTCGTCTAAGACGCGGCCCAAGTACAACACTTGTGTCTTGGCCCATTCGCACTTCTTTACGTTGATCTTGAAGTTAGCTTCTCTAAGCTTCTCCAAGACCTGCCTTAGATGGCCCTCATGCTCCTGGAGGGTCTTACTGAACACTAGAATATCATCTAGATATACTACAACAAATCTATCTAACCACGGCCTAAAACAAATCGTTCATACAACGCTGGAAAGTCGCTGGCTCATTGGTTAGTCCAAAGGGCATAACTATAAACTCATAGTGCCCATATCTAGTTCGGAATGCTGTCTTATATTGATCGTCAGGGTGAACCTCTATCTGATGATAGCCGAAATTTAAATATAGCTTCGAGAAATACTTGCAGCCCTGCACTCGATCCAACAGATCATCTATACGGGGTCGTGGTTCCGCATTCTTCACTGTGATAGCATTAAGACCTTTATAGTCTATACACATTCTGAGCTCTCCCTCTTTCTTGGGAACAAGTGCTCCAACTGGGGACGAACTGGGCCTAATCCAACCCTTTTGAAGGAGCTCGTCTAACTGCTTACGTAGCTCCTCTAACTCCCTTGGGGACATTTTGTAAATCGCTCCCTTAGGAGTCCTACTGCCAGACTCTATCTCTATGCGATGCTGGATCGGCCGCGACACTACTCCTGTAGGCGGCTTAACTAGATCTGTATGTTCTTTCAACAGCTTGGCAATAGCAGGGTCTATGGGTGGCTCCTCCTTCGGCTCAGTGACTGCCCGCACGTAGGCTACGAATACTTGTTCTTCTAATTGCTCCTCCTTTACTGAACGCGCGAACGCGGGAGCACTGAGGCAACAATATGCAAGGGTGTTGTCTACTCCAGACACATGAAACAGGCGAGCAGTCTTAACTTCACCTGTGGGACTAGGGAGCCTACACTCGTGCTATCTCAAATGGAGTGTGACCCCTGTTGCCTCTCCCCAGTCCATTCCTAGGTCTTCTACGAGGAGAGTTAGGGAATGGAGAACTTTCTCCACCTTCCCATCTTTCTCTAGGCGAAAGTACGCTTGGACTCCCTCGACATAATCCTCGACTCGCATAGTGCGATTGTCTGCGAGGATACTGACTATCGGGTCTTCTAGTTTTTGGACTTTCTAGTTTAGCTTTAACTTTTGCATCGCTTTCCTACTAATATAGCTGCGGGTGGCCTCACCGTCTATAAGGGCCCCTACTCTACCTCTAAAAATCTCTACATCTACTAAAACTAGTTATCCTTTGGCATCCTTCTTCATCTTGGCCCAGGTAGGCATCCTCTCCTTCAATTCTTCAGTCACGCCTGTGAGGGAAGTACCTAGAGAGACTCTTACACAAGCAGCCTATGGACAACTGTCTAGGTACTGGCCAGCAGCCTCTGCTGTAGGCTCGTGTGGCTTAGGAGTTCCTCTGTGGTGCGTGCACTCTTCTCCACATGGCCTAGAGGTAAGTGCAGTTGCGACCCCTACCGACGGTTGCCTTTTGCTGCTTGTGCATCATACCGGGATTCTCTATACTTCGGGCAAAATTTGATGATGTGACCAGGATCACCGCAATAGATACACTGATCCTGATCAAGCCGCCTTTGCCACACCGACTGCTTTAAGCCCAACTCTTCCCATGGCCTGCCTTGTGGCAAGCCTGGATGCCATCCACCTCGACGTGGAGGTGACCCATAAGATCGTGAGCGATTTGGCAGGGGGCCTTGACCCCTACCTCCCTCTTGGCGGTTTCCTCTACCGCCAACCCCCTGAGCGCCCTGTCCTCGGCCACCTGAGGCCCGCCCCCCCTGGCCTTGGCCTCCTCCTCTTCCTTGAGGGCTCCCTCCAGCCGCGACAGCAGCATAGGTACTCCCGTGACCCCCACTACTGTTCTCCTCCTCCAAGCCCCACTCAATCTGGCTATACGGGACCTCGTCTGTACCACCCTCATCTAACGTAAGGATGAGATGATCCTTTCCCTTTACCTGTCCTGAGATTGTATGACCTTTCCACTTTTTACCTTTGTCTAGGTCCTTGTGCCAGAAAGTGGAAACTAACATGGACTGCGCCTCGAACAACACCACCTCTCTACTCAACGCATCGCATGTCGTGGTGGGCTGTTGGCTCTTCT